TCAATTTATTAGTTCATTCAGCAGTTATGTCTTGAGATCAACTGAAGAACGTGATTGTTTCTCCATTCCATTGCTATCCATTGTTAATGCCTTTGTTGAGTTGTTAATCTTGTTCTTTAGACTTGTGTATCATTTGTTGAAATTGTGTATTTAATCAAGTAAATAAAAACGAAAAATGCATGACATAATAGGGATCGGTGAGTCAACGATTAGAGACATTATTGTGGTGATTATTCAGACTTATATGTTTTTGTAAAACATTTTTATTCTTGCTGTGTAAAACTGGATGAACTGCAATGGTTGACATTTAACCCCAAACTCAAACCGTGGCATCAAACCTCAAAGCTATGATCACAGAGAATAGTGAGAGAGAAAAGTTGAGCTCATTTTAAAAGGAGCAGTTAGAGCTGAGGACAGAGACCAACTGAAAATATTTAGAGCTCACTGAGGCGCTGGCATGTGAAAATAACTTTTCCTCAAGGCCATTGATAATAGGACACACTTTAAAAGGCTACATCTCCTATCAGGCAAAACTTTATGCAGATCTGGGACTTGTATTTAGATAGGTTCCCACAGTCCATCTGATATAACTGATACTTCTAACACTGTCATGGTGGTAGATTTTCACTCCTTCTTTCATGGTCTCTTCTCCAACCTGTGACAATTGTGCTACATAACTGTAAACTGTTTCAAAACCAGCTGGTAGAGGTTCCTCCTCCACATGGGCTGAGATAGATATGAGAATAAACATCAACTTGGTTTGAACCTTAAACCGAGACTGATGTAAAACTAAGATCCGCTGAGAGTCCCGGCTTTTTTGATGTCGGCTCACTTTAACGTTAAAAAAAGCTTTCCTTATTGTTTCTGAACACTATATGAACTTAAATGTGGTTTAACATTAAAACATGGTTTAAATGGGTCAGTCAATGTTTGTTCACTGCCAGAAATAAGTCTGCTTTCTATGTTCACTTTTGCTGAATGGACGATTTTGCTTTTTGATGTGGTCTATTACGTGGTCATTAGCTTAGTGACCCATCTAAAACAAAATGCCATTTCAGGTTATTTCCATGTGGAGTTTCATTGTACTCTCCATGCATGTAAAAGCATTCACTGGGTACTCCAGATCGCCCTCCATGATACAACAACAACCTTTATGCTGATATTTCACTGTAAAAATTAAACTAAACATTTTAATTTATAACATTTGAAGCAGGTTTGGGGTAAAACATGCATTATGTGGTTAGTCTTCTTCTTATTATTAATAATTATTATATTTTTTAATGATAATAATGCCAGGTTGTACCCCGCCTCTCGCCCATTGACTGCTGGAGATAGGCACCAGCACCCCTGGTGACCTCACTCGGGACAGGCGTGTAAGAAAATGGATGGATGGATGATAATAATGATAAAAAGAAAAAGACTGTGTTATTTTTAGGAGTCTATTTAAATTAATGTATTTTTATTGTATTTATTATTTTTCAGTTTAGTGACAGCAGCTGAAATAAAGCTCATCCTTCTATGTCCAGTGATTGTCTTTATCGAACTTTATCGCATAAACTAGTTTAGATAAAGCTCAATTATTATTTTTCCACAGTTGCTTACTCCTGCATGATTGCGGGGAGTGACTACTTATCTGCAGCTTAAAGTGGGAAATAGATGTAGTACTTCCTGGATGGAGCCAGGTCCCAAACAGAGGCTGTGTCCAAACATCCGCCCTAAACCTCAACCCCTCAGTCACTACTATATAGTGCACTTTATAGTGAATTCAGCTCACTGACCGTTCGGAGAGATGATCACTACTTTTCGTTCCCTTTTGGCCGCGGGACTCTGGCTCCCTGCACAGTGCCTGCACCATCTTTGTTCTCTCTCACCCCCAAAACAAATCTCATGATTTTCTTTTTTTGCAGAGAGAGCTCCAGAAAACAACATTCTGGGATATGATCTTCAAGTGACCATTGATGCAAATACTTAAAGTTCATTGTTAGAAATGTTTAGTCCGCTACCTTGTCATCCAATAGACATTCAGACACTCATTTCAAATGGCCCTATATAGCCCTCTATATAGGGGCTAGGGCGGACATTCAGACAAAGCTGGAGACACACTAAACCAGGTGTCCTCGATGGCTGATGTCTAGCAATTTTTGGTTAAAACTTAAAATACTTTTTTATGTTTCTTAGAGCAATTTTATATCTAAAATCACATTTACAAGTTGTGTAATACAGGCAATAAGGAATGCCTTGGCACAACAAACCACCCTCCAAAGGGAGATTTAGGCTACGTTCACACTGCAGCCTGAAGTGACCCAAATCCGATTTTTTTCCCCATAGCGACCTGGATCTGGTCTTTTCATGGCTGTCTGAACAACAGAGATCTGATTAATCCGATATGAATCTGATCTTTTCAAATGCGACCTGTGTGTGAACCGCCAGGTCACATTCATCTGACCTGAACGTCATTATTAAACAACAAAGGTCACTATTCTGCGTCTTGCTACGCAGAAGCAGCAAAACACAAAAAAATCGGATTACACAAAAAAAACGGAATTGAGCATCAAGGCCTGTAGTGTGAATGTAGCCTTAGAAAGACACGTTAACCGTTAATCATTTATTTGTCAACTTTATACAGGAGCATCTAACCTAAGATCCTAACTTTGTTTTTGTTTTTTAAAGAGAGAGCTCACCACTGTAACAAACTATATCTTTTTATCTGTGAAGATTCGCAGTCATCAAAGTCATGGTCAAGCTTGAAAAGTTGTGAAAAGATGAGAAGTTGTGTAGAAGACATTTCGCCTCTCATCCAACTCCTTCAGTTCTTACTGATGTTGGAAGCACTGACATCAATATTCTGTAGTTGTAACAAAACATTTTTTTTTCCCCTAATTCTTTTGTTACACCTAGGGGAGCCTCTCAGATGAGAGGCAAAACGTCTTCTAGAAAACTTCCCGTCCAGATGCCTGAGCTGAACTTTTTAAGCTTTAAGCTATTTAGACCTACAAAATGAAAAACTTGAGAAACACACCTGAGAAACCTGATTATGCAGCATAAGCTGTCTTTGTAACTAACAAATTCAATGAGTCAGTTCCTTAACAAATACCAGGTTTTTCTTTTATAGCCTCAACCATAAAATAATAATATTATTATTTATAATAATATTATAATAATATGATAATATTTTTGAATTCAGACAACTTATGCTATCGACACATGGGACAGCAGTGAGAGTTTTTTTTCAACCTATTCTTCAGCTTGTACACAGGACACTGGATGCATCTGAGATGTTAAAGTATAAAGTATGAAAACAGGTGGTTGTTTTTTTCTGCAACAGTTTTTTTTTGGAATAAAATTTATACCCTCTTTTTTCACCCATTTTCGATAATAATACAACTATTTTTCACGTCAGGTCAGTGTTAAACAGAACTTTCATGACTTCAGTGCCCACATAGTTTGCTTAAAACATTCTGCATCAATAGTTAAATCAGAGCGATAATAATTGGACTATATTATAGTCTTCAAAAAATATATTTGTATGAGATTATTTAGTTGTTTTCGGGGGATTGAGCATTATTGTGAGCAGTTACCTTTATCTTTCCTCAAAATCTTAATCTAGCATAAAAAATAAACTTTGATTTGATAGCATATTAAAGGGTTAAAATTGAATTAAGAAGGGTTGAAATGAGGGGAATCTGGGTACCAAACAGGGATAAGAATTAAAAAAGGAGCAGCTTGACCCATTTAAACTGAAATATTTCCTCAAAGCATAACAAAGTGACGACCCGTCATAGAGAAACCTTTTCCAATTCTTTTGAGTTTTGTAAATGTAAGGTGAGACCTTCTTGAATGAGACTGTGGTGAACGTGATCAGCAACAAGTCAAAGTCACATCTCCAGTTTTAAACAGTCCTAAGAGCCTCACACTGTCAGCACAACCTTGGCTTCTTCCTAAGTGCATCCTAGGACAGTGTGACACCAAACCATAAACCACCTCCTTCCATTGCTCTGTGGTCCCGCTGTGATGCTGGCATGCCCAGTGCACATGGGTCATTGTGGGCACCCGGACTGGCCTGTGATGCCATGTATTTTCTGACACCAGCCCATCAGACCTGTTATTAACTTCTCCAAAAGTCCGATGGACTGCAGGTCATCTGCTAGTTTGAACCACATGTGTTCTGCCTTCACTACTCACATGCATTAACAAGCTTTGACGCTTTTAGAAACCGTTCTTTTGGAGCATTGTGATATAAGAACTGCTGACCCAGGACATCCGGCAACAGCTGCAGGGTTGAAGATGCCCTGTTCCAGTACTCAACATATCAACGATGAGGTCGGAACCACAGAAAGGCAGCGAGCTGGGATTATTCAGTGTCACTGGTCATAATCTTTTGCCTGATTGGTTTATAGATAGCTTTACTTTTATTTTCTATTTCGTCCTGGATGAATACTTCATATTTAAATGGTTCAAATGTTGTCAGCTTGAAGTATTTTACTTATTTACAAAATAAAAAGTTATTTAAAGAAATTGCCCCCCGCTCTCCAAAGAAGGCCTTTGCAGTCACTTACTCTCATGGTGGGACCCAAATTTGTTCACTTTTCTTCTTCCCCTTGGCCATGTGCTTCCAGGGAGGTTCACTATAGCATTTAAATTGCCTCTTGCCCCCCCACCCCCTCATCACTTCTATAACACTTCCATTGGTGAGAAACTTTCCCCTTTTCTCTTTGCCCATCTGAAAAAAAATGTGTCTAAAGTGTCAGCTGCCCTCCAACCCAGATGCCATATTTAGGATACAAATGTGAGGAGATGACAGCGTTGTAAAATGGAGCCCGTGCTGAGATTATAATTAACATTTCCAACCTACATCACTCTCCCTCCCACTTCTCCTTTGCTCTCCCCTATTCACTCACTCCTGTACGATAAATTTGGGGGGGGGGGGTAGATAGAAGAAAGGAGAGAAGGCGAGAAAGAAAAGAAAGGGAGATGGAGGAGGAGGAGAGAGTGAGAGAGAGGAGAGGGTGACCAAACGGAGGGAGGGAGGGGGAAACGGCGTATGCTTGTATACAACCCTGATTTCCATTTTTTTCCCAACTCGTAATGTATTTAATTCAAGTGAAACGTAATCATGACGTGTCGTGTCATTAATCTCCTCGCCGCCTCTCCCGTAAGTACACTGAGTCTTTACTTTCAACATATACCCTATATCTTCATTTATCTATTTCATTTTTTCCCACTACTATGTTTACACAGCCCGTGTGTATACTTTTACACTCGGTGGCATGACACAGCGGTGATGAAACATTTCCAAAAATGGAGAATTTAACTGCGACTCTTGTTGCCTTTTTTCTCCCCACTCTCTCTCGCGAGCGGGATAATGGTAGTTGTTGATGTGTGTTTTTTGTTTTTTTTTGTATCTCTGCTTCTTGCATGTGCAGTTAGCTCTCTCACGGGCAAGCACACGCTGCCTGAGACGCGCGCCCGCGCGCGTGTTAACATGTGGAGTGATTGGCATGAAGCACGTATGTATGGTATGTATGGAAGCGCGCGCGCGCTCCGGACACTTTCCGTGGGTCATGTATGTTTAAGCCCGGTGTGATGTCGGTGCGCGCGTGGACCGCATGCGTGTTTTTAAGCCTCGTTCTCATGTCCGTGACGTGACCATAAAATAGAGCGAAAAGAATGAGGAAAATAGGGTTTTTTTACAGAAAAAAAAACTGTTTGAAGAAGTAGACTAGGTGGTTCGGGGCGACTTTAAAAAGGTCGCGAGCGCTCCTAAAGTGTCGCGGAGTGTTTAAAAGATTTGTTGCAAAATTTTGCAACTTAAACTAAGTTGAAAGCTGCTGTCAGGATGGTGGCAGGGGTGAATTTATGGCAGCGCTTCATTAAACACCGCGAAAGTAAAGTAAATAAAAACAGATATGAAAGCAGGATTCCAAAAGTGTTTTTTTTCTTATGTGAGTTGAGTTGAAAATGGACGCTATTAGACTAACTCTCTTTGTTGGACGCACATTAAAAGGCATTGTGTGTGTCGCTGTTTTAGAGGTTTTGAGCGACGCTTTTCTCTTTCTTTTTTCTTTTTTTTTCGTACTACAGTGTTTACTATCCGGCGTTTAGCTGTCCTAACATCACAGCAGAAAGCTTGCAGGTTTGGAAACCATGAAGAGAAGTTAGCCAGCTTCAGCTTTGATGTTAAAAATAAAACGCATCTTTTTTTTCGGATGCTATTTAGCTTTTTTGGGGGGGAACGGATGTCGCTTGGCGATTGGCACAGGGTTAAAAATGAAATCCATGATGGCACTTTTCTTTTTTTTTTTGATAACCCTCCTCCCCCTTCCCTCTCACTCACTCGCCTTTTTCTCCCCTCCCTTAATCTTTTGTATAGAAAATTTAGGAACAAAATGGAGCAGGAGAGAGAGCGATAGATAGGCTGACATGACACTCGCACCCCTCCGACTTCTCCTCCAAACTCCCCCCTCTCCTTCCTCCTCTAATCGCATTCTTTTTCAGTGGGATCCAATCTGCGGGGCAGGGTTAATCTCGTTTTAGTCGGGCTGTTTATTAGTGCATTGTTTGTTGATGGTTATTTATTTCATTAATGTGCCTCTAATTGAGATGGCCGCGAGAGGAGGAGGAGGATAGAGGGGAAAGGAGCGCTGCTGAAAATGGTTGCGCGTTATTGACGCACATCACAGGGGCGAGGAGGAAATTCCTCTCGAGATAAGGCGCAGACGTGTCATCTGGCGGACCCAAAAGACACTCCCGTCGCACTTTTCTATATCCAGTGAAATATGTTCAGAAATGTCCTAGTTTTATTTTCACATCCTAAATGTCACCGTCCAGAGAGCTGCGTGTGTTCACAGTGGAAGTAGGCTGACATTGCTGGCTTGTCCTATAATGAGATACATTTTTTAAGCATCCTCAAACTCTTTTTTTTTTTTAAACCAAACTTTTATTTTCCACTTTGACTTTAAATTTTACTTTTTTTATTTTGTAGGAATGTCAACTTTAGATTCAGTTTGTCACATTTAGAACCACACATAAGTCAGTTTGTCAATTAGATTAATAAATAGACAATCAATAAGAAACCCATTCCAGATTGGTGGACCAGTTCTTCCATTTCAATTTTTATATTGTTCAATTCAATTCACTTTATTTATATATTGCCAATTCACAACACAACCCATTTCAAGGCACTTTACAGTTCACTAAGTCATACAGTCACATTGATTCAAAGTTTTCTATCTAAGGAAATCCACTTGATTGCATGAATTCAAGCCTTCACACTAAGCATGCTTGTAGCGACAGTGGAGAGGAAAAACTCCCTTTTAACAGGAATAAACCTCCAGCAGAACCAGGCTCAGTGCGAGCGGCCATCTGCTGAGGCCGACTGGGGTTCAAGGAGATAGAATCAGAGATACTAAAGTTTTGTCTAAGCAAAAGCAAGGCTTTTTTTTAGCTACTGTATAAACTCTCAAACTTAACACTATTTCGGACATTTAAAGTGAAAAAGCTTCCTGGACGGGAAATGAAATGTCTTCAAACTTTTTTGATTATTGTTTGCGTGTTTTGAATTGAATTTACCCACAATCATGAAATTTGTTCTCTGCATTTTGACCCATCCCCTTACCGTTTGACCCCTCCCCATGTTGTATTCAGGGAGCAATCAGGGGTTAAATGTTTTGCTCAGGAGCCCAGAGTGGAGGCTGTGGGGATCAAACTGAGAACTTGCAACCTTCTCAGAGCACAAACACACTGCTCTAACCCACTAGGCCAACACACCTCTCATATCCTTGCAAAGAAATACAACAAATATGGATTTGAGGAAAACCTCTAGAACAAACGAATGGAGAAGCTTGTGAAGAAAAGCAGAAGGGCCAAATCAACTTCTTATAATAACATATTGTCCTTATATCCATTTGAAATGATTTTCATGCTCCTCCCCACCTACTGTTTCTGCCAAGATGTGGCTATCTCCAAGCAGCTGGACTCACGAGGCTAATGGAGCTCATAGAAATCACATGTTGATTTTTTTTAAGCATGCAAGGTTAATAAACCCTTTGCAACCCAGATGCGTCAGAATCCATATATAAAACAGCTTATTTGTACTTATTCCTACTGATTCCAGGTGATCTGGTCGGTTCGGTGTTATACACATTTAGCAGGGTATTAAACTTATTTCTTCAGTGTGTTTTTAGTCCCATTATTTGTAAAATCCAACAGTTAGGGTACTACTTTATACTTTGTTACTCCACTCTGGATTTACTGTTTAAATTAATCCAAACAAAATATACCATATGATGGTTTCCTAAAATAGAAATAATTATTTAATCTCTACCGTAAAGAATGATGGCTGAGTATTTTCTAGCAGATTCCTGATCTCAGTTTTTTTGTAAAGCTTTGACCTGTGCGTACATTTGCTCTATTTAATGGTGGTAAAACATTGTTTTACCTCTATGTCTTTAGCATCATACTGTATATTAGTAATTTAACCAGATGGCATGGCCTAATATTGTTGTAGCTGACATATCTAAATCTTGTTTAAATTAATAAAGCAGAGCATCTTTGTTCCCCCTTTATGCTATCAGGTGAAGCTTTATTCTACCAGCTTCAGCCAGCAGCAGACATGCCTTGACATGTCCTTATTAATAACGTTTTCTTTTGAACAGCTTCATAGCTTCATACATTAGGGGCCAGAACAAGTTCAGGGTCAATCTATGGTGTACCAACAGGAAAATGAAAGAACAAAACATCCATATTTTCCAAATAAATCACAGAAGGCAGACTTGCTAAAATGCACATATTGTAGCCTATATATGATACCTTAGTTAATGGTATAGTGGACAATCTTCTGAGTTTGAATTCCTGTTGCTCATCTTCTTTATTTTAGTATTTACGTATTCAGTTAGCTTCAATTTCAGCCATTCATTTTAGTTACATGATTCTAAGCGTGTTGCAAAATGACTGAGAGTCGCAAGAAACAAACAGCCTTCAAAATTTTTTGAGAGGATGAGGGCTTCAGAAGAAGGAAATAAGTCTTGGCTATATTTTGGAGATTCTTTCACTTTATGACGGAGCTAGAGTCACTTTAAAACTGACCAGCCGTAGCCAAACGATGCCCACATTTCCTGAAAAGTTATCCACACATACATCATTACATATATTAAACAGGTTTAGTTGTTATTTATATTTAATTACATATGCGACTGATGTAAAAAGACTCATAGCTTTCCTTTTTCCTTCAGAAAGCATACAATTAGTTATATAAAGAGCATAAATTCTGTTTTTGTGATCCTAAAATCATTACTGTATATTTTTTGCAATTGTATGGTAAATCAATTAACCAACAATTGTTGTCAATGTAATTAAGATATTCCACTTAAGAGTCTCACTGCTGCCACCCTGGGTTATCCGTGGAACAGCTTGTTCCACACGTGGAAAATTACATCCACATGGGATCAACGCATCACCTCGCAGGGGTGGACAGTGATTGGCCACAGCCACCTTTGGCCTCCCATCTAACGCCACCCCTGATTCTGACACAGCACTGATCTGAATAGATATATATGTATAACTGTCTGTTACCTTCTTCTGTCAGTAACAACATTCACACTGAAGAGTGGTGTTGTGAGTGAGGCCTGGTATCGCCTATTTATTCTGCTTTTAATAATTGAACAGGAATAGATTTGGAAGTTTCTTTTGGAAGTAATTTGGTGGATCTTCAAAACGGCATTTTGTGAAAAGGGCGCTTCTAGTCAAGACTGTTACAAAGGAAAACACATGGAAAGCAGAGGTGTTCAAGCGGATAATTGGCTTGTTGAGGTCACCAGCTAATGTCCTGTAGGGAAAAGCACAATAAAAAAAAAAAGAAAGATCAAACTTTGGATTTCTTCTTTTCTTCTAATCAAACCCAAAGAGTTGAAGTCCTTCCCTTCACCTCTACAGGTTGTCTGCTTTTTTCTTACAACATGATGATTTCTGTTGAAACCCTTTGCAGGTACTCATCAGAATCCAGCTGCACTAATGAACATTAAACACTGGCCCAACATTAAAAAGGGTCTAATGGGTTTTGCTCATTCCGACCCCTATCTGCTTTTTGTGTTCAAGTGGTGTCCTCCTGCTCCTGCGCCACCATCAATGCCGCCTACTTACTATCTTTGTGTGTGT